GAACAGTGAATCTTGGCCTCGACAGCGTAGTACCTCTGCCCTACCATAAAAGCGGCCATAATGTCTATTGAAGTCTGGCGAGAGTGCGTTCGCTGTTGGTCTCTTCATTCATGTGACCAGCATATAAATAATACTAGAAGCAACTGGAATGTGGCGATGGTGCGCCGGGCTATAAAAGCAGAGCCAATTGGGGAGTAACATCTAGTCACAGCACGTCCGTCGTATCATATCGAGCTGTGGCACTCTGCAGAGGCTGTTCCCCCTCGCTGACATGAGCTTGTCCCATGTGCATCTCTACTGCACCAGCTTCTTAACCATCTAGGAACACCCGGCGTGCCTTCGCCAGACATCGACTGGCATTTGTACTATCTTATGGTAATGGCCCATGTTGGCTCTGGTGGCGCCTCCACTGTTCTTGTGACGACTTTTATAATGATAACTCTGTATTGAAGTACCGATGAATAAAGAGAAGTGCTCACATTCGTTCTTACTTTCCTTCAATATTTGTCGCATGAATCAGTATGCAATAAGGATATATGCAAACTAAAAAAATTAATTTAAAGCTTAATTTTAAACGTGTAGATTTATATAAGATATATTTTACACACAAATTTATATATTTTTATAGGAAGATGATTTTTAAAATGCCAAAGATAAAGAAAATCTTCATGGGATGAACTACAGCGAATCACACAAGAATGGAATTGAACTATTAAGAGAAGGTGACAAGCGACTATAAAGCACTTGAAAGGGATCAGGATAAGGATTTGGGATGGGATGGTGGAAGGTGCCCAACCACTTGGAAGTTTGGGGATTGAATGCCGACCTGCATGAAACGAGACCTTCGCTCTACCGTCCAGCACAAGTGGTTGGACCCTGAATCACACAAGAGTGATAACAACAATTTAAAAATACAGATAACCAGTTATATGTTATCACCTCCACTGCTCTCTTCCACCCAATGATGTTGACTTGAAGCCGGGTAACAACTGGCAGGTTATCAGTGATGAGAGCTGTTTCTCTCTCTGGTCAACTGACCTTTATTAGGAAGCTCTCACCACCTCTTTTTCAATGCAAATTTTGCCATCTTCATGCCTCAGTTTACCTGTTTGTTCTGTCTGCTTTGTTGCCTTCTAACTTATCTTCATTTGCCACACACCACTTTACGTCTTCCTGATGAATGATCATCACTTTAATTCCACCACTCTCACCATCCTGTTATTCTTCCCCCCGACTACTCCACTTCATGCACCTCCTTCTACCCTACTTCATCCTTCTCCATTTAACTCCTCTTCCTCCTCCTCCTCCTTCTTCTCTACTCAGAGTTAATTATGTAATTGTTCTTGTTTGTGTAGATGGATAGTTTCCAGGAGTTTCGCTCAGATGTTCCGTTCGAGACTTCGAGCTTAATTCGAACTCTGCATTTGAAGCTAAAGCGAGTTTTAGAAAATCAAGGCAGAGCGTTCTAGGGTAACTTGATGATAGGAGAGGGGAAAGAGCGTTTGTATCTAGATGTAACCAAATTTTATATTAAGGCAAGTTGCTAAGGGACGTTAAAAATTTTGTTCATGTTACGGTGAAAGGACTTTGGGTTTATTTTGTGCCAAACTGTGTTTTGCTTTCAGAATTGCAACCATCACCATCAACAAACGCCATATGCTCGTTAATCCGGTCTCTGAACCCCTTGTTTGTGTATGACAAACACTTTACACACATAACTAACAGCTGATGGCATACAATTTTACTAGAGGAGTGCTTCGTTTACCTGTGCTCGAATCGCACTTTCCTAAATGCTTCATTCTCATACTACAAATCCCAATAATGGACTTCAGAACCTAAGTTAGACCTAACAGTTCAGTACATATTAGTATGAATTAACATTGACTTATATTTGAAAGAAAAAAATAATAATACGCAGTACGTTACTACTGATGAATGCTATGTGGATACTTTTGACGCTTGGTATCCTGAGAACAAGTAGTTGGAGTGTTAACAAGGAGTGTTTCATGTCAGCTTGCAAATGCTCTGATTTGAGAAAGTGTAATATACATACCATGCTCATAGGTAAGTGTGCTGTATCTGTATCATATTGCCTACGATCCTGCCAAGGGTAACATAAAGAGGGCTGTTTAACTATAGTCAAAATATTAGAAACAGATGAATAAAAACTAGAGAATAAAATAACAACTAATCGTAGGATATTACTGAGAAATGCACTACGAAGATAACTCTAAATAATATATTATTCTGATAAATCGCTGACTAGAGGGAGACCTAACTTACTCTTGAAATAAATCTAACACACTTACGTTTGTAAGTGTATGTGCAAGACATCTCATTCAAGGTGTAGGCGATCCTGTAACGAGAAATAGGATGCCACATAAAGAAAGTATATGCATTTGCAGGCGATGAGTCACAATAACGTGGCTGAAGTATGATGACCAGACCACACACTAGAAGTTGAAGGGACAACGACGTTTCGGTCCGTCCTGGACCATTCTCAAGTCGATTGAGAATGGTCCCTTCAACTTCTAGTGTGTGTGGTCTGGTCATCGTATATGCATTATAACCCTTAAGGGAAGAGGTGGTAGAGGGTAGAAACTGAAGTGTAGTTGAACATTTCTCTTGATAAATTGCCCGGAGCGTTGTTTGGTACACAGAAGAATATCTGTTATTTGCATTCTTGGTGGCGTTGTAGATCCAGAAGAGTATAGAAAGAGAGGAGAGCTTTGCTTCTCTATCTTGACTGTATGTGTCCAGAGAGGCTATACAGCAGCACGGGGAAGTGGAGTTGTGTACCCAGTGGACCAGGCTTCATGTTGACGGATATTTTCCATTGCCTCTTACCCCTTATACTCTTTTTACTGCTGGTCTTTCCCCTCCTTCCACCCTTAGTCTTTCCTTTCTTTCCCTCTCTTCTACCTCTTTCTTTCTTTTAACCTGTGTCTCTCCTTTACTTTTGCTTCTTTCATCCCTCCCATGTTCTCTTTCTTTATTCTCGCTGTCTCCCTTTTTTTTATCTAATTTCCCGGCTGGGTTATGTACTCCAAATGCACTTCATCTCCTCGCTAAAGAGCGGCGGGTCGGAGGCTGGAGCCGGAGGCACAATAGCGCCGCCTCCCTCGGGTTCTCTCTACCAAGACATAAAGTAAACACAAAAATAAGGTCTCCCGCGATGTATCTTTTATTTTGAACGGGATCATTTTTTTATTTTCTAACTGATGGAAATGTTTGTATAGTTGTTTAACGGGGTACTCGAATATGGATGCATTTGTGTACAAAATCGTTAAGCAAACAAAAATTTGTTTGCGGAGGCTGAAATTTTATTCCAAGATGGTGTTTTTTGTTTTTCGTACTTATTTGGTAAATTAAATAAGCTATTAAATTGTGTAATTTCTGGATTAATTTTCCAGAGCATTGAACGCATTTGGTGAGAAGTATGAATATATGGAAAACAGAGCTTAACTAGAAGTTGCATATTCTCACTACATGTACTCCGTTTCCAGCTAGAAAATATATTGTTTTAATTAAAACGCGGCTACAGTGTATATATATATATATATATATATATATATATATATATATATATATATATATATATATATATATATATATATATATATATATATATATATATATATATATATATATATATATATATATCTGTTAGACGAATTATGTGCATTGCAGTCATAGGCTTTTGACGCTATTGTTAAGCTTACTAAAGGTGCCCATTGCAACGTTCACACGTGTACGGGCTCGTTAGGCGAGCAAACGAGAACGAGTCAACAGCCACTGGCGGCGCCGGGAGCACCTGGGTCTGCTTTGTCTTGCTGGCAGTCTCAGGTTGTCTTACGAATTGTGCACCTCGCACATTATTGATATCTTCTCTCCATTTTACTTATCATTATTCCATATCGATTCTAAATTTACATCTAATCTGTATGTGACAATCACCTAATGGTGGTTGTAAGTTTTGTATCACGTCATGTGATACAAAATCACATCATGTGATTGTATCACGTCATGTGATTTGTTTGGTCATGTATTGTTGCTAGTGTCGTTATTCCTTAACAGTTTACAGTTTAATTTAGTGTCAAATGAGCACAGCTTGACACTGTCTCGTACTGGACCCCGTGATAATCCTCGCACCTGCTTCCTATCAACTCCACCTTCTCCACACAAAAATCAAAACACTTATTCGGCTTATTCTTATTTGGCAGTATCGTAGAAACTTATTAATTCATTTCGGGGAGCACTTATACCAATCATTGTTTACCCTTAGCAGAGCGAAAACATTTTGATGACGTAACTCGTCCACACAGAAGCAAGCATCAAGACCTGTGGACCTGCCTACCACAGTTCCCTTCATACATATCTCCCTCCCACAAATCCTGAACGTGTTCAAGCCCTCACTCAGAGACACAGAAACAGTTGCAGAGATTTAGAGACAGACACAGAAGCACAGAGACAAAGGAACAGACCCAGAGAAGAGGTCGAGCTGGGAACGGCTGAGTATTCGGGTCAAGTAGAATCACATGTTATATTAATTCTATATAATAACAAATATTAACAAAGACTTAGTATTAGGCACCAAAAAATATCACAGAAATAGGAAACACGTATTTTTACTATTATCCAAACTTTATGGTAAGATACGTAAATGACTTGCTGGTGACACACAGAGCCACTTCTCCATAGTGAGGAAATTATAAACTAGAGCAGAACATATGCTAACGTTCAACAAGTTAGTCAAACAATATTCCTCAAATCCGACAATCATTTAAAATAAAAATATTAGAAACAATCTTATTTTTTTTGTACCAAACGACAAAGTGAATATAATTTGATTCGTAATTACCATATATTAGTTGACTGGAAGCAAATAACGATACAACTGAAATGAAACGAAAGACATTAAAAAAAAATTTAAATACAGTTGACGCTCCTTCCAAAATGTGTTAGTGGACATCTGTTCCTTAACCACCACTTGGTAACAACTTATTGAAGGTGGCGGACCGTTCGTGTGTCGAGATTCCGCGTCCTATGTATACGGAACTTAGTATTGTGAACATTTACGTGCGGGAAACAAGTGCAAGATTTATTTGGTTATAGACACGCATAACCAAGAGAATCGATCGGTCTAATATTGGATTACTACTTTGCTGCTCCGAGGTCTGCCTGTGGAGACGTGAGTACTGAGTTTGACTTTAAGTTAGCAAGGCTCAGTCAGCATACTGACGGAGCCTTGCTATCTGAGATTTTGTTATTGTACGAGTTAACAGGTGAGTAATCGTATTGTTACCGCGTTGATTACGGTTGAGTTTGTCGGTCTCCAATAAAGACGTGAATTACGTAAATGTTGACAAAAGCTTTTTGTAATGTAGAAAGAGGCAGCGACGAAGCGATTGAAGGGAATAGTTTATGAGCGGGAAAAGTGCGTAGTTTCCTCTTAAACAGTATTGCTCCAAATTTTCCGGATAGATTCATTAAAGCGTTTGATCACATTAGGTCGAAGATTTGATATTAACAAGGCTGATCACTATGCGGTTGTCATGACTTTTAATAAAACTCGAGATTCGTTGTGAATGGAATATTTATCTGGAGGTAAGTAAAGATTCGCTGGAGAAAATAAGTGGTTTTTATATGATTTTAAAATATTTATTTTATTATACTACCGTCTTGGTCATATATGTATGACCTATTAAAGCGCACCAAACCATTAACCGGACTACACAAATCGTAAGTTTAGTGAAGATTAGTTACATAAAAATTTACTAAGTGACTAGATCATATTTTTCCCCTTTTAATAGGTAGCAAATCTGTGTTTTATAGTAAGACCAACTTCGCTTTTTTATGTTAAGAAATTTAAAAACAACTGGTGAGTTTAGGCTTTGTACTAAGAACCTTGTGGTTGTTTTATATGGGGAAAACTTTTTGGCGAAATTACTAAATACAAGTTAAATTTACCCTTCATTCACCATTATTAAATTAAGCATTGTATTTCTGACGGTTATATTGTTTAATTGTAAATTGTTATACCCAAACGCTTGGTAAACCAATGGATATCACCTTATGTCCGGTGTTTGGCAATATATACCTGGAGTATTTCGATACCAGGATTTTGTCTGGTATATTACGACTGATACCAAGTGATATATTGATGACTTGTTATGCTTTAGGCCGGATTACTTAGACAAATATTATCTTGTAAACCTTTAACTGGGTTCTTTTCATTAAATTCAACGTTGCAAGAAAAATCAATAGAGCACTTCCGTTTTTAGATACATTGACTTATAGGAAAGAATGAACTTTCAAGTTCACTTTGAAAGGAAACATTCTAACGAGTGTTCGTACGCGGAACTTAAGAGCTCTTTTGCACAGTGTAATCCTTAAATTTTTTGTGTTGACCACCATACTGGTGGTCAACGAGTATGGGGTGCACAGTAAACTACCGCGCACAGGAGTAGTATGGCGAAAGAAGAATGTGAGAAAGAAGGGAGGAGAGGGGATGGAAAATAAATAGGGGGGGGGAGAAGCAGCCTATTCCGGTGACCGCTGTGTACTCCTGCAAGTGTATATAACACTATATTTACAATGTTGTATCATATATATTGGTATAACACTATATTTACAATGTTATATCATATATATTGATAAATTATTTAAATACACAGCTATGTTTTCATGGAAATTTCTCTATATTAAAAAAAACATCGTGAACTTTGTTGTTGTCCCGGCCAAGCTCTGCTTACCCCGAATGTAAACAGCCGGGGCTGAGCTCCAGTCTGGCGCCCTGTTGATACCGAGTGTTTACACTGACTTTTATCCTCACAGTATTCTGGAGCGCAGTCACAAATATGTGATCTTTATGCATTCCTTTTCTGTTGGATTATGATAATTTTTTTTTTTGAAACACGAGCCAGTCGTCTCTCAATCTATTTCGTAGTGTCTATTTTATTTTTTTTCTTGGGTATGTTAGTTTTCTCTCCCGACTTTACTGTATCGACATATTTCCTGCTACCTATCCAGGGATGAAATTTGCAAGTTTGCTTTCGGATAACCCTTGCATATAATAGGATAGAGGAAGAGAGAGACAATTTACACCATACTAAATTTTAATTAATATTTAAATCGGGATACTTAGAATTAACTTCAGATTTTCCATTCCGTTTATTAATTTTGTTGTGTTATTGTTTAAAAAATCAATCAACCTTATGTGGTGTATGGCGAATTCGTAAATGATAAATCCTTGAATTGTAAAAAAAATCTTAGTTTAAATCTGTTGTATTCTTCGTAGATAATTTAATTTAATTCATATTTGGATTTATTTAAAGAATAACGAAGCCTTTTAGGTATATTTAAAGAAAACTTTATATGCTCATAGAGCAAAGATGAGCTGTTTCACTTGCATCAATTACCAGTAACTAATGTGACGATTGAACCCGACTCTTGCTTGTAAATACGTATTGTACCAGACTTTCAAGTCTTAATGAATATAAATATTGTATCACTAATTCAACCGTTATATCATGTATCGTGAGTCATACTGAATTGTCTAGTGAGTCAATAATATATTAAGAGAACAGAGGCGCTACGAATGCATTACTGTACTTTCTTTCCGTTTTTGAGTTCATTTTTTTTGGGTAAATACATTGAGAATGAAAAATCGGGGATGAAAATCGCAACAGAATGAAATTGTGTTAAATTGGAAACACAATAAACAAGACGAGAAGACACAGGAGCTGTGCCAGTATATTTTGTACACCAGAAAATTGACTTGGAACTGGTGGCGACTGAGCGAACCAAAATCATGAAAGAGTGTGGACCAACAATGAGTCTTTCAGCGGGTCAGATCTTCCTCCCCAGCCACTGGAAGTCTGGCCTTAAAGCCGCCCTCTTATAGGGATCAAAGTGGCCCCCCCCACTGGACTTGGTGCTCCGGCCGGATGGTCCCCATAAACCTTACCAAATGACTACGGCAAAGTGCTGCCCGCTACGTCAAGAAGACTTAATTATACCCAATGACTGCCTTTCACTGGGTTACTCTCTTTTTCTCTCTCTCATTCTCTATATTTGTCTCGTTCCTTCTCTCTCAGGTTTTCGATTCTGTTCCTTTTAGCATTCTCGCATCTTGCCATCGTGGCGGTAAATCTGGCAGCTTCAGACGGTGAAAATTATAAGTCTGGTCGTGTTTGCTGTTTATCTTCTCTCCCAGGATGTTGTGCCAGCTTCAGTGATCTTTCTTCTTAGACATGTCCACTTCAATATCTTCATTCCAAGGTCCAGCCACGTCTGCTTTAAGACCTAACTAGGTCTGGTCACGTCTGCTCAAGCCCTAACTAGGTCTGGTCACGTCTACTTAAGACCTAACTAGGTCTGGGCGTGTCCTCTTCAAGGCGCTAATCTCTGCATGTTTCGTTTCTCTAATCTGTGTTCCACAGTTATCAACACAGTCGGCTCACCACCAAATGGTCCCATGTTCCATTTCAGTGCATGGAAATACTTTGGGCACGTTTCCGTTCACCCGATGCCTTTGTTCAACAAGCTATAAATTGATTCACGGGAAAAGGTAATTCAGTACACAGAAATTACATTAACGTGATATATCAAATAAAAAATCCACGGGAGCCTGACTAGAACGCGTCTGGGAACACTCGGCGCATGGGTTCGAATCCTCGCCAGGGCTCCTGTGGATTTGTATTTTAATAACGTAATTGTTGTGGTTTGCATCCTGGGAAAGGTCAGCTATTGACTCAAGGGAGCCCTTGAATAGCCTAACAGTTTTCTCTGACCTTGGGAAACTACTGGACAAAGAATTCATAAAATTTAATTAAACTAATTATATTTATATAAGATTTTCGTGTTGTCAAGTACGAACAATATAGTTTAAAGTTGATGGATTGTAGGTTTTCACTTTGCTTCTTGGTAATATTAATCCAGGTCGTAGATGCTGTTTGAAAACTTAATTGTGCCGAGATAACTTTGTGGACGCATATGCACGGTGAAAATCCATTAACGTGATGTATGAATGAGAAAATCATTAGGAGTCATGTGGAGGAATCGAAATTTTGTGGTATGTGTGAAAATCACAAGAGATTAGATTTCTTGGAAGTAAAGCGAGTGATGACTTCCTAATTTGAAGCTAATAGTTTCGCTTAAACTTCGCTAAAAGACTGAGTTTGTGTTTGATTTCAGCACAATTAATAGAAAATATAACAAAAGGGAGTTTAAATGTTTATAAATGATTGTTTCTAAAGACGTTTAGAGGAAAACTGTTTATAATAAGATAACAGTTCACGACCAATAAACTCGCAGGAACCGAGATATTAATAATGGAAATTAATAAAAACCCGGAAGGGCCTTCGATTCTCCGTCAGTGATCCACAGGAAGCTCTTCAGGGTCCAATTGATTTTACATCATCTGAGAGACGTCCGACCCCGAGATTCAGCCAGACTTCCTCTCTCTCTTCATCACAGTCCTTCCACTTACTGAAATTCATGTTTGTTTTTTTTCCCCAAGACACAAAACCCTTCCTTTGGTAAGGCGGTACAGCATATTAGTCGTCCAAGTAATAAAATACTATGAACCCATACTCACATAATGGACTAATTAATGAATTATCGTTTCGAAGAACCTGACGACGTTCAGTCAAGGGACCGTGCAATATATTACTTGATCCATAAGACAAAATGGTTGACAAGTTATCTTGAGATTCTTGAGGTTATCTTGAGTCCAACCACTTGGGCTGGACGGTAGAGCGACGGTCTCGCTTCATGCAGGTCGGCGTTCAATCCCCGACCGTCCAAGTGGCTGGGCACCATTCCTTCCCTCCGTCCCATCCCAAATCCTTATCCTGACCCCTTCCCAGTGCTATACAGTCGTGATGGCTTGGCGCTTTCCCCCCCCTGATAGTTTGAGGTTATCTTGAGATGATTTCGGGGCTTTAGTGTTCCCGCGGCCCGATCCTCGACCAGGCCTCCACCCCCAGGAAGCAGCCCCTGACAGCTGACTAACACCCAGGCACCTATTTTACTGCTAGGTAACAGAGGCATAGGGTGAAAGAAACTCTGCCCATTGTTTCTCGCCGGCGCCTGGGATCGAACCCAGGATCACAGGATCACAAGTCCCGCGTGCTGTCCGCTCGGCTCCGACCGAAGTGGATTGAGCAACGCATAAGTCGATCCGTA